ATTTGAAAAATCAAACTTATCAATTTCATCATCTAAGCAAACATCTGAATTTAAGATATTAGAAAGATTAATTTCTTCATTAACAGTAATTATTTCTTCTGAGTTGATAAATGATTTTATTTTATATATCTTTAATATCAAATCACTCTAAATTAGTACATTTCTAGACTAATAGGACCCAACTAAGTGTAAGATTTCTCTTTTTATACCAGCACATTCAATCAAAGAGAAGAAGCCAAAACATGGGCTGTTACCACAGCACCAGCGGCCCACAGCACCAGCAGCCCACAACACCAGTAGCCCAGCAGCTTAAAAAAACTAAATAAGTAAAAAACCCAGCAAGGCTGCTGCCCAGCCCAGATCAGTAGCGAGAGGGAAAGAACGAGGTGCAAGAGATCGAGAGAAATCGGCAGCGAGATGGAAGACGTGGGCARCGAGACRGAAGACGTGGGCAGAGAGGGAWMGAGGGASCAAAGTYRGTGGATAAAAGAGGAAGCAAAGAGCCGTTCCAAGAGGCTGTTCGATTGGGGGCTGTCACRAGAGAAATAGAGACAGCAGAAAGGGGCTGTCAATTGGCGATAGAGGGGAGAAAAACAGGAGAAATCGGGAGGYTGTTGGGTCGAAGAGATAGTCGCGAGGGTGAAGGGCAGAGGCTGGTTCGAGAGAGACCGAGAGTGAGACAGCAGCTGATGGTCGGCTGTTCGATTGGGGAATACGGATGCGAGACTGAAGCGGACAACAGGGGAGGATCGATTGGAGAAGAGGGTTTTTTATCGTCAAATTCTTACGGTAAATCCTAAAATTCTTTAGAATCGGTAACCCAGTTTAGATATGTGCTGCTAATTTATCTATTCCAACATTAGTTAACTTTAGATTTTGAYGTTTTYCTACTTTGAGATGTCGTTGTAATYGTTTKGGACMAGCTTATTTGTGTAATTTCTAGGTTAATCGTTAATTTCATTTGAACGTTAATTAACTTGGCCGATTAGTTAACAGTCCTATGAATGCGTGTTATTCAAAACATTAGATACGTAATTGTCATGTGGCTTTGATATGGTAACAATGGAACTTTTTGAATTCGACAAAGTTTTCAATTTGAGTTCTTGAAATCTCATAATCAAAGTGATATTAAGCCGAGCATATGAGCTTAATTATTTGAGTCGGTGTTTTCTAATTCGTTAAAGCTAATTACGTTTGGGATGTTGAGAGCTTGTTCATTGTTCCACTTGTAGTTAAGATTTAGTTAAAGAACTGATTTTAGCTATTGTCTAGTTACACGAAAACGAAGGTTGTCAGAGCTTGTTGATAACCACACCCGACTTGAGCTTGTCCTATCTTTTTACGTTTGCGAGATCGCTGATCAGTATTTACATCATCATCGAGAGTGATCTAATGTTGGATTTCGTTCTAATTATTTATAATAAGTTTTAATCGCATATTTAGTTTAATTAATCATATCCAAACCCCCCCCCCTTTTTTTAATTATTTTTAAGTCGTCGCTTTGTATTTGATTTTTCTAGACATAGTAAGTTAAACCGAGTCTCTGTGGATTCGACCCGACTTACCGCTATTACAATTTTGGTTGTAATTTAGCTTGTAGTTAGAATTTATTATTTGGTGGACTCGGCATCCGTCAAAATTTTGGCACCGTTGCTGGGGACTCGGTGTTTCTAACGGCTTATGCCTAGATCTTCACGTACAGGTACGCCTATTCCCATAGACACATAAATTGAACGGACAGCCAAACGATTCAGGAAGCTAGCTAGGCTTCGGAAGGCGCAAGGCGAAGCTTCAAGTTCACCGGTAATCAACATCTGAAAGGATATTGAATTACCATCCGAGTCTGAAAGCGAAGTAGAGGAACTTAAGATGGAATCTGAGGAAGAAGAGGAGGAAAATCCGAAGGTCAACATGGCCGATGAGCAGACTTTACGTCAATTGGCAAGCCAAGACGTTGCTCAAACTCCAATTTGTATCAGGTATCCGACAGGTAATCAAAACTTTGTTCTTATGACTGGCTTGGTCCATCTCTTACCCACATATCACGGGTTAGAGAACGAGGACCCTAATAAGCATTTAAAGCAATTCCATATTGTTTGCTTAAGCATGAAACCGGCCGAGGTCACGGAGGACCTTATAAAGTTAACGGCTTTTCCTTTTTCTTTAAAGGACCAGGCTACTGATTGGTTATACTCGTTACCTCCTGACTCG